GGCCGGAGGGCCCCAGCCGGGCGGGGACTGGCCTCCAGGGGCGCCGCGGCTCCTGCTACGGGGCTTCAGGGGCGCCGCTCGCGGCCGGGTTCTGGCAGAGGCCAGAGACTCCCCGGCTGCCTGGACAGGGGCGCCCTGGCTTGGGGTCCAGCGCTGGTTGGCGGCTTCAGGTTTTGGGTTTCTAGGGTGGAAGTGGGCGGCGAGGGCAGCCTGGAGCAGGGCGGGAGGCCTGGGGGCCGTCAGGGGTGTCAGGGGAGGGCAGCTGCGGGGGTGCGGGGTGCTCTCCGCAGGCGCCGCCCCCCCCCCCCCCCCCCACGCAGCACATTTGCCGATCGCATTAGCCGCTGATGGTCTCTCCAGATGCGGCGTGGCCGCCCAGCCAGCTCGCCGCCCGCGGCGGGGAGAGTGACCCCGGCTTTTCCAGGGCCACTCAGAGCTGTTCCCTGGAAATTGGCAGGAGAGCCAGGAAGGGCCCGGCCCTGCCTTTGGGGCCACCGCGCTCTGGGCCACGCCCTGGGCCTTCCTAGCTCAGGTCCCAGGCCCTCGGCGCGGCCTGGCGGGAGTCGGGTGCCATCTGGGGCGGCCCGAGCGAACCGGGGACCCCGCAGCGTGGCCTCAGCTGGTCTCACTGTCCCCCAGCCCGGAGCCGCAGCAGCTGCAGGTGCCCCAGCCCCGAGCCCCACTCAGGGCCACACCCAGCTGCCCGCAGAGGGGTTGGGAGTGGCCGGGGCAGAGGCCGGACGGAGGGCTCAGCGAGGCGGGTCCAGTGTGGCTCGCGAGCTGGCTGCGGCCTTGCCCAGGTCAGCACCCCCAGAGAGCCCGCACCCTGCGGTGGGCAGCCCAGCCCTGGTCAGCGCCCTCTCTCCAGCCCGCCGCGGGGCTCGGCCTCCCTGGTCGACCTGAGCCGTTGCCGCGTGGGGCCAGGCCACTGGACACCATCTCCTTCCGCAGGCTGCCCGCAGCCCCCGAGGACCTGACCATGGCTGCCCGGAAGGGGCCCCGGCGGCTGCCGGCGTGGCTGGGCTTCGCGCTCGCCGCCCTCCTGCAGGTAGGGGAGGGGCGGGCGTCCTCTGCCCTCGCGGGGCTGACGCGAGGCCGCCCGGGACGTGGCTGACCCGCTGCGCCGCCCTTCAGCTCTGGCATCTGACCTGGCCATCACGGGTCCCGGGGTGCAGGGGCCTGGGTAACCCTTGGCGACTGTGGCTGGGGGCCAAGATGACCCCTCTTCTCAGGCTAGAATGGCTTTCTGCATCTGCCCAGCGGAGGCCGGGCCACCGGAGGCCAGGACCCAGGGGGTGGGCAGGGCCCAGCTCCCGGACGACTAAATAGGGCCCCGCGCTTCCTTCCGTGGGCAGCACACTGCGGCCCCCTCTGCCCCGCCTCCCTGCTGGCCGGGGACCTGCGCAGCCCGGCTTCACCGTGCCGGCCAGGCCCGTGTGCAGGGTGCCCAGTGAGAGGGCAGCTGTGGCCGGACGTGGAGCCATGGGCTGGTCAGTCCCGCTGCACCGGCTTGCCTCGTGCGTCGTCCGCCTGTGACCGCCGGCTGCCGAGTGGCCAGCAGGGCACCCTCCCCGCACGCATGTCCTCGGGGCCTGCGGAGGGCCTGGCCGGCAGACGCTGACCCTGGTGGCGGCCGTCCCCTCCTGCCTCGCCGGCACCGGGGCAGCGGTGGCCCCGGCCGTGGGCTTCTGTCTCGTCGCTGCCACGCCGGCCGCTGTGAGCTCACTCAGTGGGCGCCTGTGGCTAGAGCCTGGGCTCTGCTCGGTGGGCGAGCGGGCGCCAGCCAGCCCCACGCTGGCCGCTGGCCCCTGGGCTTCCCCTGCCGCTCAGTGGGGGCTTCTGGGCTGGCCGCCTCTGGGCCCCAGGCCGAGGGCAGTTTGCCCGGAGTCTCTCGGCCCTGGGGTTTCCCCCGTGTGGCCTCTGCGGAGGGGTGACCGGGCCCGTGAGGCTGCGTGGGGGCGGCCAGCGTCCCGGTGACCCGCCTGCCGGTCACTGCTGGGTCTCGGGCCCATCCCCAGCCTCTGGCCCAGCACCCGGCGGCCCAAGCCTGCGCTTCCCGCGGCGGACGGCAGGGGGCAGCGTGCACG